CAATATGAGATGTAAACAAACGATTGAATCGATTTTTTATTTATCCATGCTTCCATGACTCTCCTTCAAGTGATTAAAGCATAAAATATTTTTTTTTAACTAAAAACAACTATTAACTCTTTAGTCTTATTTGTGATTATATAGTATATATTTTTAGACGTCGAAGAGCCACGCTGCAGCTATTATGATTGTAGCATGAACGAGTCGGCTCGACCTGGGAAGGACCACGCTCTCATAGAATACCAGCATAAAATAATAGCTTAATGCTGCTGTTTCGTATGGTGAGTGTAGAGATACGGAGAACCTTTTTACTGGAAACGTAGGTATTCCATCTTATTCCTCACGGGTGACAACGCATCTGCATTTTTATTCGTAATCGAGGATAGATGTAGATGTCTATGGGCCACAGCAACCACTTACCATCAAAATATCGATGCATGTTTTATCATAAATACTGTCGATTTAAAAATTAACGCATATCATGTCGCGCATTCGTATTCGCATTTCGGTACTACCGTTTATATTTACACGCTGCTTCGACAACATTCAGTTATTTCGGGAGGACGCTCTTCACTTGTTATCTATTTTGCTAGTTTCGTGACGCTTGGGCGAAAAAACGGGTCAGGGAAACAAATGAAAATGAGACGCAGCAATGATAATGAATTATTATTTTCTTACAAAGCGACATTGCATTAATACAAATTCAAATACAATTTTATTTTAAATACAAAAAATTATATAGTACGTGAAGATAATATGGTCATCCGATTAATATGGTCACTTTCCTAAAACTCAAAAACCTTCAACCTAGCCTTATTTGCACAGATAGGAAAAGGGCGTAGCTTTGTCGACGCCATTTTGACAATTTACATTATAGTTAATATTTTAGTCGATTTTAGTATGGTGTAGTGTAGTTAGATATTTTTAAGTTGATTTTTCTAAGCGTCTCTAATATTGCCAAAGCTAGTTTGTTGTTTTTTCTTAATATATTATTTATAGTAAGTATACGACTTTGTGTTTATGTCTCTGTCCTCCTCTTAGTTTTGGTTTTATAGGGCGGAAAAGCTTAAGGTGATTTTTCACGCATTAAAAGTTCAATTTTTTGTCATTAAAAACTACGAATTCACATTTTTTAAATTCATTATGGCTGTTAAAGATTTTTCTTAGTGACTTATTGTGGCCAAAATACGATTAACACATTTTGGCTCGATAGAAAAAGATCGCAGTTTCCTCAAAACCCACATTTTTAGGTACGTCCACTAAGTGAAAAAGCAGTTTCATTCGAATGTAATGAAATCAATTTCAATTTAATTCAGGCTATGTGTTCACCAGTAAATACGTGAGTGAATTATGGGTTTATTTTTCAATAAAAGAGTATATATCATTTTAAAAAGAAATATCAAATAAATATTGTGTGATTAAATAGCGGCGGATAACAGTCCATATAGAGTGTGAGAAATCTGCTTTTGGCGCCCACTTCACTTTAAGGTGACCACATTACCCTCACATATCTTAGTTTTCTACAAATACGATAAATAATATAATAGAAAAATATTTCATAGGGGGACATTTGCCATAGTTTATACACCTGGCAAACGTGTTGGCAACAGCACACTGCTTTCCGTCTTCTGTCCTTCTAACGCCTCTAATCAGCTACCACGCGGCAGAAAATTATTACTAATAAATAAAGAATATAATATTTGTAAAGCAACATTTCTCTTTTTGTGTACTCCAACTGCGTAGGTAGATAGTATACGTTGTATGGTTGATGTGAGAAGTTACAAAAGTCATTAATTAAATGAACAATGGTAACACAGACATCCTGGACCACGTCATTGGTAAGATTCGTGAACGATCTTTGACCCTTGACATGCGTACCAGACAAATAGGCTCCATTGAGCTACTTATCCTATTAGAAGGAGTTAATTCTCCGTGATAATTAAAATTAACGTTCGGATATCAAACAAGGTATTATTTTCGAGCAAGTGTTACGTAACTTTATTTATTATATTAACTTTAAAGACTTTTTAGTGTAATAGAGTTCTAAAATATATAGTAACGAGATAAAAAGAAATTTAATACCTGATTTTATTCAAATTAAAAAAAAATAACACGTGTATCCTTTTTTTGTGAAATTTGTATGAGATAATAAAATATTATATATTACTTTTTAAACAAGTGAAGATTATATATATATATATAACTATATATAAATATTTTTAAAAGGCGTTCTGTCGTATCTTTTACGTGTCACGTCACGAACCTATATACAATATACATAGTTTTAGGTTTTTTAATTAGCAATGAACACATCTTGAGTATTAAACTGCATCTACTTCATAAAACTCGGTAATTTTTAGCAATTATACAATTTCTTAATGTTATGCTATTTAAAGTTAAATCGAGAACAAAAAGGAAAGTGGTAGTAGTTTCGGTTCGGCACAGTTACACTCAATTACTAAAAATCATACATTCGCATTTAAATGATGTTATGTTTTATATAACTGTGTTATGTAAGTTCATAAATAATTTTAAAGCAGTTTGCTGCAGTGTGTATTTGAAATAACTGCTACCACACAAGCTTTTTACATATTGAAAAGAAAACGTACGACACAAAAAGAAGTAGGTATGAACAGTGGCGTAGCTAGGTAACCAAGGGCCCTGGGGCAAATCAAAAAATGGGGCCCCACTGCTGTCTAAACTGATTAGGTTTTATCAAGTAAAAATATTAAATATAGGTACAAATACTTTAAAAACGCTAAGCTTACTTTATCATCAGCTCTTTTTCGTGCTGCAGGGCAGTTAATAAAATATTAAACAGTAACAACATAAAATACAATTAATACTTAGTGTAGGTATTGGGCAATAAGATGTAATAGAAAAGATTCAAAGGCTTATTATATAAAGGTCGGACCTACCAACTGACTAAATAGCAAATATATTTACAATGTTTTCCTAGCCTCTTTTCGCAGAAGTAGGTATCAATGACTTCGGTTAAATCCAGGCATGATGCGGTTTCGTTTTCAATTGTTATATAGCGATAAATGTCGGAGTCGAGTTTGGCCCATGCTATTTCTTTTTTTAAATTTGCTAAATAGGAATTGTAAAGAATAATAATCAAAAATAACATTGCTGTAAATACTTCCGTTAGGTCGCAATCTAGTACTCCATATTTGCTCATTATTTCCTCACATAATTGGTGAACAGTCCATGCTTGAGTTAATTGAGGTAAAACTAGGTGGTAAATATTAATAAATTGAAGTGAAAAGCTAGGGTCTATTATATCTGAATATTTTCTTTGGAATTCGTCACACTTCTAATAAAGTTGCTTCATCAACATGTAATAAAAATGTTGGTGTAAGAAAATCGAATATTCGACAGACTGCACGCATACGAGTAGAACGTGTAGGTTAATTGAGCTATTAATGGGTCTAGTACATTACTGAAAATCTCAATTTTAAATATTTCTTTTTTATTTGGAAATCAAGTGATCAGCAGCTTATTCATCAAAATGGTTTTTAACTTACCTTTGCATTTTTTCTTGAAAATGGGGATCTATACCGTATTTTCTTGCAGTTTCACTGACCTGCACTTGAATAGTTCTAAATCATTTCTATAAATTTGCAACTTTGCTATGGTCTCTGCTAAAGCTTTACTTGCCTCGCCCAAATTGATGTCGCATTTTTGTAAAATTTCGGATGCATTTTTTTACAGGATAGGGTGACAAACGAGCACACAGTCCACCTGATGGTTAGTGGATGCTGCAGCCCATAGACATCCACATCTATCCTCGAATACAAATCAAAATACAGATGCGTTGTTACCCGTGAGGACTAAGATGGAATGCCTCGATTCCAGTAAAAAGGGTCTCCGGTTCTCTACACACACCATACGAAACACAGCAGCATTAAGCTACTATTTTACGCTGGTATTCTGTAAGAACGTGGTCCTTCCCCGGTGGAGCCGACCCATTTGTGCTACAACTATACTACTAATATCACTTCAGCACGGCTCTACCACGTATAAAATGCATAATTCATGCCATTCAATACACTGTGAATGAATTAGCAAAGCAACACGAACTCGAAATTTAGCTTTTTTGTTGATACTCTGCTTCACTACGTTCGCCAGTGAATTTTGACAGTAGATCCCAACGTTTGATAATATTTGCGAAAAAGTTATAAAAATCTTGCATCGTTGCGAAAAAAACTGTATTTGCACACAACTAACGGCATCATTTTATCACCAAATTTATATTATGAATGGCACAATGTACGTACTCCGCGTTAGGCCAAACATTATTCCTTTGTGAAGCAAATTACCAGCAGGGTTGACAATAGGCAGCGTCTAGTATTTTGGAATAACACAAGCAAAAGCGATTAACTGGTCCGTATTTTGAACTTGAAACGTAGTACGATTTTGAAAAACACCTATTGTTCTAGTTGATGTCTGTTGGAAAAGGTCCTGAAGGCTGTAAAGGCCCCATATCAAGAATTTGACGTTTTTCGTTATCACTTAATATTTTGTTCGTGAAGTTTCCCAAGGCATAAGAAGATTCATCGTACACATTTTCAGAAAATGTAGAGGTCTGTAGTTCCTCCAAATCCTCCGCTCTTATATGTGCCATGCAAACATCATCAACGTTTACATGATCAACGGTGGAGGTATCTCCAACTGCAACAATTGTCGAATCTTCTTCAGTAGGCTTCTCAACCAACACTGCAGTTACCACATTATTTGAGTCACTATCAATAGAAATATTTTATCCAGAAGTACTTGTAGAAAAAACTTGTCAATCAAAATTGACAAGTTTTTTCTACAAGTACTTCTGGATAATAGAATATAGTAAAAAAAATTTCCCAAAGGAAATTTTTGTTCACTATCTTCTCTTTCTTGTCGTTTTCTGTGTTTAAATGCACCACTGGATTTCTTCTTTTTGTCCATAATATTAGTTTTTTAATTTATTTATGCAATATTCATATTAGATTGTGCTCGCGTAGGTACTCACTATTCACCGACGACGTTAAAAGTAAAAGAAAGGAGAAACGTAGTGTCACGCTACAAGACGTTGGGGAATCACCGGCGAACATTTTACCGCCGTTAGTGTTACCACATTTAAAGGTGGAGACCAAGAACGATCTCCTCGCGCGCGGGCCTGAATTTAATGCACCTACTGCAGGAGACCTGCATTTTTTTCACGATATTTCGCGTTATACAGTGAGTAGCCGAAATCTATAGATTTGACATGATTTATTGAAGTAACGGACATCAATATGAGTGGTCTAAAATCAAATAAAATTTAACTACTATATTGACCAGTACTAAAAAGTTTATTGATATTAGTTTACTTACTCCTGATACAACATTAATTTTTTAACCGTTCTCGAAAAATCTTGACTCAAATTCACAATAAAACGCACATCGATCAATAATAAAACGTAGATATCGCTATCCGTCAAATTGACAACACTGCCAACCCACAGAAAGAATTTGAGGGAATTCCCTAGGTATAACTTTCGAATTTCTCTAAACTGAGTTGCCATTATTAAAGTCGGGTTGCAACCAGTCATATTTATTTTGAAAATGGGAGAAATTTTTAAAAGTTCGGTTCGATCGAGATTTTCTGCTAAGGATTCGGAGGCCCCTGAGCTTGAGGGCCCCGGGGCACTGCCCCGCCTAGCCCCTAGGTAGCTACGCCACTGATTATGAAGCTATTTTCGTCATAAGATTGCATTTTATATTGTTAATAAAAATAAATTTTACATTTTTATTTGACGTTTTCTTCCGTTTAAGTTCGTACTTCTTTCCAATTTTTATTTTTTAAGAGTTTTTGGAGTAGGAGAAAATCCTAATGTTTTTATAAGAAATTACAATAGACATTAAGGTGTTGATTGTTGGAAAATTACCACTCTTGTGATATTTTCTTTTTTATTGTTGATAGTCAATTATTGCGGTAATCATCATCATTAGAGCATGCAATTGCATCCATCGACTTCCTGCAAGTCTTACCAGGTCGTCTCACGGTCCAGTGGGAAGGCGTCTTACATTTAGCTTCCCAGTACGAGCACATGAGTAGATAATTTCTTTACTCATGTGGTACGAGGCTGGCGCTCGAGAACCATTTTTCTCTATTGTTTTGGGTTCGTTGAGCTATATGTCTGTTCCATTATGACTTAAGCTTGATTACTAATTTTCTTTTGACGGATCTCGTGTAGATTATTCTTTTAAATTTAGGAATAATGTTTATTTACTACCGATATACCCTCATATCATAGAAACAACAGTATGATCTAAGGATACCTACTAACAAGTGATATTTCAAAATTTTATGAATGTAGTAGTTCTTTCTTAATTCATCCATAGCCCGTTCTATTGACTTTTTTATAGAATAAGGGTGACAAACGAGCACACAGTCCACCTGATGGTAAGTGGATGCTGTGGCCCATAGATATATCTACATTTATCCTCGATTAAAATTCAAAACGCAGACGCGTTGTCAACCCTGAGGGCTAAGATAAAATGCCTCGTATCCAGTAAAGCAGAGTTTCCGGATCTCTACACTGACCATACGAAACAAAGCATTATTACGTTGGTATTCTGTGAGAGCTTGGTTCTTTCCCGGTCGAGCCGACCCATTCGTGCTACAACCATAATATTGTGATTTCTTAATGACTTACCTATGACTTACTTTGTTATTAATTAATTGTGAAACTGATAAAAGGTACTTGTACAAAATACTGATTGTAAAAGAACACTTTATCCTGATTTTTTTATTCAAAGTTGCTTTTACAATAATTGCTTTAATATTATGTACGATATTTTGTAATTAATCCGTGCGGCCTTAGAGTTCCAACATTCCGCGGTACCTTTTACCCTTGGAGGTAACCAAATTTAATTCAAATGCGTCTTTATGTGTGCGAATAATTTATTTAGATATTATGATAAATAAATCTGAGCACATTAGGATAAATATAAATTAAAATAACATGCAGCTAATCTTAACCACTTGATGGTAAGTGGTTGTTGTGACCCATATACATCTATATCTATCTTCGATTAAGAATTAAAATGCAGATGTGCTGTCACTCTTGAGGCCTAAGATCGAATGCCTCGTTTCAAGTATAAAGGGTCTCTGATTCTTTGCAATCACCATACGAAACACAACAGCATCGATATGATATTTTACGCTGGTATTCTGTGATACTTGTAGTGTGGGACTACCCCGGTCGGGCCGGCCCATTCGTGATACAACCAAAATACAGCTGTAGCATTGCTCTTCCACTAATTAATTTAAAAAATAAAATAAAAGAAAGCCAACTTATTTTTTTAAAGAGGTGCAGACGAAGGAAAAGTAACAATGTACATTAAATTTCGTGTTTGGTATACAACTCGTCTTGTTTGTCAATATTCAGAATTATAAAATCGTTGTTGTTTAGTCTGGGTAAAATCGTCTACAAATAGATAATAGACCGTATAAAACTTTTATTTCATAATGTTTGAAATTATTACACGACTGTTCTTATTCTTGTATAGCCGTAGATACTAGCTACGATCGATATTACTATTATATTAATTATTGATCGATTAAAGTAGTTTCAATGTCGTCCATTGTTGCGTTATTACGTATGGAAAATTAAAAAAAAATTAACTGAATGAGAAACGAACTTACAGTATATCTTATGGTAAGTAGCTGCTGTTGTCCATTGACACTTGCAGCCAGTGTTGCCAGCCAGATGCGTTGTCTGTCATCTTTAAGGACTAAGATGTAATGCCCCACAGTCCGTGACTATACTGGTTCTATAACCTTCAGACCGGAACACGGCAGCAATAATTCTGCAGTTTCGCCAGTAGTACACATTTACATATTATTATATCACTGATTATAAATTTACATAATCTTGTGTTATGAATACAGGCGTTCTTTCTCTTAGTTAATTATTCTTTAATTTATGTATTAAATGCCAATAATACTCGTACACTATACCGACTACATCATGTCTTCGGTCGACTGTCGAATTTAACTTCAACACTTCTTTTATTTTGACATAAGTCTCTGAAAACACGATGGCAATAATGACATTTTCGGTATCTACAATGTTTTTTTTTCCTAAAACTCAATTGACAATGGAACTTACAGTCCACCTGGTAGCTACTGCAGTCGATGGTCACAAAAAAGGTTATAAATATGTTGTCACATCTGTAAATTAAAATGGAATGCCTCGCAGCCTATAACTATACTAGCTCTTCATATCTTCCAGACTAGAACACGGCGGTGCAAACATTACTTTTGGCGCCAGGAATTGGAAATTAGAGTACCTACCCAGGTGGACGGTCAGGCAGGGAAAGAATCCTATAAGTACCATCTACAAAACTAATCTGAACTTGATGGAAAAATCTAGACACATAAGTAATTGAAAATATGTACCTATCGTTTAATCGTTTATTATGTATGAATTTCGTGAAAATCTTAGAGAATAAACAGTAAATGTCAGACCGAAGTTTGAATATCATGTAATTTAATACACGCAGAGTATGTCAAGGTTTCCTTTCTGAGAAAATTCAGTTTTACCCAAGGAATACAAAGTGAGACTTGTCGTGATAACCGAGGTTATTCGTTCAATACTCTGAAATGGAAATATCAAACAATGCTCCTTTTCATTTTTTGTGTAGTGATATTATAAAGTACAATTACAGTCTAAACAATGAATTATAGTAGCTTTCATTTCCTGCCGCTCATTATTTGGAATTGTTACATAATTTTTAATTAAATGAAAACCTTAACGGGAAACTATTTTCTATCGTCCTTCTTTTTCGTGTAAAGTGTAATTAGATACACGGGAAATTCATGCACCTATTCAAATATTTTATAATATCAATTCTTAACCAATTCCTATCCCTCGGGCAGACAGTTGACGGGCATGCGGTAGTACGGTCAGTGAACAAGCGTTCGACAGTTCGAAGTTAGATGTAAGCTGTGTCTTATTTTGAAATGTATTTTGCATATTGACTAATGAGGCTTTAATCATTTGCGCTATCATATGTATGTAACATAGCATTAGGTAATTACTTAAGTAATTTAATTAAGCTACAAGGAGTAGAATGAAGTTAAAATGACTTTTTTTACACTATGTTAATATATAATAATTCGTGCCGAGGATGTCGTAAGAGGCGACTATGGGAAGTGCTAGAGAAATCTCATGACTTTCGATAGATGCCGGTATAACCACCTCGTTTACGCCATACGTAAATACTCCGACTGGCTAGCAGGGGAGCACCGTCAAAGGTGTGGAAGGTCTAGTACTGCAACACCAATACTTTGTAGAGCCATGCTGCAGCTATATTATGGTTTTAGCACGATTGGATCGGCTCGACCGAAGACTTCACTTTCACATAATAGGTAAATTAGCAGCTTAATGTTGCTGTGTTTCGTATGGTGAGTGTAGAGCATGGAGACGGAACTGGATACGAGGCATCCCATCTTAGTCCTCAAGGGTAACAACGCATCTGCATTTTGATTCTTAATCGAGAATAAATGCAGATGTCTATCCATCACGTGGTCTGTGTACTCGTTTGTTGCCTATAATCTATAAACAAATAAAAAAATTGCCTGAAGAGAGCATATCTTCTCTAATCGGAGACGCTCTTCCCCAGCGTTGTACTTTTAAGAGTTAATGAAGAAGTTTAGATAGGAGCCAAAGCGTAATAAAGAAAAAACAAACATTTTTGTTACTTTCACCTACGTAACACGTATGTAAAATACCCACGAACCCAAATTTTCGCCGAAGAAGAACGGTAGACCCTTTTTACTGGTAATGGGCTTTCCATCTTAGTCCTCAGGGGTGACAACGCATTGCATTTTGAAACTTAATCGAGGATAGACGTAGTTGTCTATTGTATTGCGATTGCGTTTTTACCTTAGATGCTACCTACCTCTATAAGATATATATATATATATATATATATATATATATATATATATATATATATATATATATATATATATAAGTAAATCATACAGTTAGAACTTATATCATATGTGAATGTGTATATATTTTAACCGACTTCTAAAAATAAGGGGATTCGGTTTTTGACGTGAATGTTATTTTCACAGAATAATATTGTCTTAATATTACGATTTCTGTGGTTATTTTAAAGATAAAACGGGCGCTTAATGGTTATTGTTCTCTCGTTATAACTAAACGGATAAATAAGATTTCCATTAAATGGATCGGACGGACTTACAGTCCACCTGAAGGTAAGTAGCTACAGTGCAATGGCGCCAGCAGCCAACAAACGGCCAACAAGCCTTCAAGCGGAAGAAATACGTAAGAGGGGTACCCTACCACTTAGTGACATGCAAAGGATAAGAATCACATAGTATTTAATTTGAGTAAAAAATTGACTGACTGAATCTCTGCATAGTATAAAATAAGTCGCTTTTCGCCGTCTGTAAGTTTAGATCTTTTAAACTAGGCAATGGATTTTTATGTGGTTTTCACCAATAGACAGAATGATTCAAGAGGAAGGATATTTATATATTGGCATTGTTTGATATGTATGATACATGCATAATCTTATAATCATAATAAAATATTATTAATCACTCCAAACTGAAACCACGTTTAGGTATCTACTTAGCACCCGTGCGAAGGGACGGGTCGCTAGTTACAATAATATATTAGAGTTTAAGAAAACCTTAACACATGTTGATCGTAAGCTTTTCCGATCCTAGTGAGAATAGGTACTCGATTATAGTCACGAAATTATTGTATTGCCATCAGTCTTTATTACGTCTGCAAAAATAATTTAGTGCAAGTGGCCGAAAACAGAATTTCAAAAAGATTCATCATACATACAAAAATAATTTTTTTTAACTTTATTTAATTGTTGTCATATGTTGATAACATCACATCAAAAAAGATTTTAGTAATTAAGGAGTAAGGTAAATGAATAAAGTTGTGAGAACATGGCGCCGATGCTTTGCGCTGATGCCTATGACAAGCAAATGGATTAGCTTCTATTGTTATAACGTACCTACAACAATTACTATATCAAAGGCCACGTAAACTCTCACAAGTTGCGGTTTATACGTGTAAATATAAAATTAAATATTGTGTAAAATAGCGGTATCCAAGATTTATGGATATACCAAATTGACAGATAATTACTTATTTTTCCAAAGGCACTCCCATGTCAAAATCAGCATTTTTGTAGGCAGAATATCGCCTTGCAGTAATTTGAACTGGAAATTTCTAGGCACGATACCAAGGCAAGTTATCGTTTAAATTTTTAAAAGTGTAACAATAAGCAAAATCAGAATACAAAGAACACTGTATTATGTAGGCCGTTTTAGTTTTGGAAGTTTACATCACATACAATGACCAATTAGAATATTGTTTTACCCAAAAAGTATATTAATCTTATTATAACCTTTCTAACATAATTTAAGCGCCTGTTTTATCAATGTTCTCTAACTTTTAGCTGTAAGTAAATTAGATGCATTAATTCGACGCATCTTCTTCGATAGTAAACATAACATAAAAATCTAATCACTAACATACAAACCTACATTTAAAGTTTTGCGTATCCCTTGACACCGCATCGGAAATCCGGCAACGTATCGTTCGTTATTTAGAGCGAGACTTGATCGTGTAAAAGCGTTGATGGTCTGCGAACCCATTGATATTTGATAGAGGTTTAGGAATGGCGGTCGTGTCCTATACGTATGCGGTATGCGCAGCGAGGCTGGCTACGCACTTTCACCGGTTGTGCACGTCTCTCACGACATATATTATTATATCCGACTGATTGTTTGTGGTTACGTGTCTACATTTTTTATGTATCGAAACAATCAGTTTTAAACAATACCTACCAAAATTATTAAAATTATAATGCAGAAATAATACAAGCACTTCTAAAATAGTGTACTTTGATACCTATTACATTTAAATTAAGAATTAATGACATTATTAGAGAAATTTATATTACATTACGACTAGATTTTATACGTAAGTACTCTGTATATCATATTAAGTAATAATAAAGAATTGCCGGTTATCGGTTGGAATTTCTAGAAAATATAACACCTGCTCGCTAGTATTGCGACGGCTAGGTCGTTCCGGCTGTAATACTGGCGATACAAAACCGGTTCCTATGTGCCAAGTGGCAGAGTGGAGGCAGTACTTGGGCTCTATAGCGTCATTTACCTATGCCTGACATTTTTGAATGAAAAGACTGACGTTAAACATCTAAAGACTAAAGAGCGTCATTTAATATTAATTAACTTTCGTATTTTTAATCGTGCAAGGGAACAGAGAAACATGAAAATATTTATAAATTATGTCAACACGCATTGGGGCAGCGCGGCGGACATTTTCCTTGCCCTAAAACCTTAGAAACAAGGACGTAATAGAAAAGGACTTACTTCTTACTTTTAAAAACATCTTAGCTTAGAAATGAGAGGAGGCCTGTGCCTGTGCCTGTGTGTTACATTTGTCAGTTTGCCAGTCTGTTAAGATTGGCGGCTTTTTTATCAATAAGTAGGTAAATAATAAATAGCTTCACCTGGGTAAGATCTATTTAATGTGACGTTATTTGGTTAATACAAATAATCAAAAACCATTTATTTTATCATTTTTTTGGCCAATGGCCAAGTTTTTTGGCCAAGTTTTTTTGGCCAAGTTTTTCGGATAAAATATAGCCTAGATCACTTCTATTTCCATTGCTCTCTATAAGTTTCACTACAATCGGTTCAGCCATTCCAAAGATTAGCACGCACGTATTTTTTTCATAGAATAAGGGTGTCAAACAAGCACATAGTCCACCTGATGGTAAATGGATGCAGTGGCCCATATACATCTACGCTTATCCTCAATAAAGAATCAAAATGCAGATGCGTTGTCACCCCTGAGGACTAAGATGGAAAGCCTCGTTTCCAGTAAAAACCTCGGTTCTCACTCATTCTCACTCGTACACTCACCATACGAAGCACAGCAGCATCAAGCGGCTATTTAACGCCCCACCGGTCGAACTGTCATATTCGAGCTACAACTATAATATCGTTGCAGCATGGGCATACAAATAACCCCCTCAGATCAATATAAGGCAACTATTTCGATATTATAGAGAGACACTAAATTTATTTATATGTATAGATAAATACAACAGTAGCTAATAGAAGTAAAAAACAACAGTGTTTATTTGTAATGTCTCTAACGGTCTGTTAGTAAGTATTTCTTTCTAAAGTCCACGTATTATCCAGTATTGTGTTAAGCTATGTATTTAAGTTTATCCAACACCGTTGCCCTAATGGTACAGACTACCCATAGTCGTCTGTGTCATTTACTACCTAGGATATACCGCTACTTTAGCGATCACTCTTAAATGCATTGCAAAATACAATTCTTTCTTGTTGTGAATGAACTGTGAAATGAAAATAGAATTTTACAATATTGATCATATTGTAAAATTCTATTTTAGGTTTGTCTTTTAAAGTTTGGCGTTAAATTTTTTCATTTTCTCCTTATTTTTTGGCTGCCGGAAAAAGAATTCTACCATTGTCATGTCAGTAAATCAGTAATGGGAAAGATAGCAAAATTATTACGTAAGTTTTATAGGTAAACACTTTTTATTTGAAACTCCCAAATTTAAAACAAAAAATAAAATTATAATATTAGATCCATCACCTTTTTTATTTATTAATTCATTCAAATTCATTACAGCCTATAAAAGTTCAGTGCAGACTATAGGCCTCCCCCACAGAAGGAATATAAAATCTGTATTTAAAGTTATTATATAAGTAGTATGTATAAAATAATCGTAAAACATATTTTATAGATTTTTTATATTAAGATTTTGTGCTTGGATACTTGTCCTTAAAGTCATGTTTTCATTTTTTCGGGATGTTCGTTTTTATAGACTTTTTTCTTCACAATATGGTGATACTTCACATTGCAAAGTTTTTGGGAAATTTTAATGATAGCTCAACCCAGCGGACAGTCAATGTAGACAGCCACATAGGTTCATAAGGCACCTAAGCGATCAAATTAACTTGAGGTTTATATTAACATCGAAACACTTGTTTCGTCGTTTTCTCTAATAGTTCACATTTGATACACAAAATCGCATCAATTTCACGTATCAAAATCTACTTCAAACCATTATTTAAACGATGAAAAAGGAGCAACAATCCGTCGACGGTGAAGTTCCTGCCGAAATTCTTTATGAAGGGAGTAATACTAATGCCACAGATTAATTAATAGTTTGCTAATAATGACAGGGATACCTTAATAATAGGAAGAGGGATAGTAGTGGGGAGGAAATTATACAAGGAGAATTTCATTTTTGGGCGAAAAATGGTCAGATGACGTAAAAATTTTGTAGAAGAAAGAAATGTCCGTTTAAAAAAAACGTCGAGAACGCTTATCTAAATATAGCACCTAGAAGTAAGTTTCGCTATTTATGTGTATAATACTCTAAGGCATAGTAAGCTATATTTCTTAAAACTTGCATACTTACAAAATGTAAGTATTACTTACCTATTCACTCGACAATAACTTAATTACTGTCGAGGTTGATTAAACAACAAAAAAACATGTCAAGATAACGTACTCGTTAGTAAATAATAATGTATCAGTAATGAGTCATGTCGTTAAAAATTTAAAAAGTTCATATCTCTAAAGGGTATGTATCAGATCGTTACACAACACTGTTTAATTTTTATTAAGTGTACAAAACATCTGCGTCATCCAATTTACTAAATTTAAACAGTTCTTGTTCATTTTTTTATAAACTAAAAGTTGCATAGTTCGTTATGGTAAACCTTTTGTTTTTTTTTAATTGTGATTCCAGCTACCTACCTGATCTTACTCAGGTAGAAGGGTTGGTGTGCTTGAGCAGAGGTATAATTTGTAATTAGGGTTTTAATAAGTAAGATATTGCTTCTTCTATTGGTTTCCACACACGATAATATAACAAAATGTTAGATCTAATATTTACTACTGGGTTTTCTATGCAATTGAAATGATGATGTGTATTTAGAATATACTTTTATAGAGAGATTGGAAGAAAATAGGGTTAAAATGTCTTTTTTTTCTTTTTTTCAGATATTAGGCATCTTTTGTATGGCGTTGGGTTCGCCATGGGCATCCTCGTGGTACGTTTTTGTTGCGGTCACCTCCTTCATCACCACACTAATGTGGAGTTTTGTCTACTTGCTGAGTATCAGAGAGGCGTTGAAGCTTCCCATCAATTGGGTTTTATCTGTAAGTATTAAATCTTGAAACAAAGATGAGAAAGGATTTATTTGTCATTGTGTTTTTGATGTTATATAAACATGTTATATTACATAATACGATACAGTACATCACAAAATTATGTCATGTAGACTAGACTACGGCAACTAACGCGTTATGTCGATATCGTCGTAATATGACAAATGAAAACGTTATTGTTGTATCATAGGGGAATTACTTCGTTGGATTGCTATAAAAAGTAATTACTTTATAATGTAATAAAAATATAAAATATAAATAAGGAATATTACTTTTTAACGATAACATAAAAAAGTTGCGAATATGACGACTTTTATTCAAATAAGCTCTTTGTTAAATAGCTTGTGGTGTAAGGAATCTACTGTTATTTTTCTTTTTAGTTACCTAATGTTGTCAGCGCAGCGGTCTTAGTATATGTTTGTTACAGGGTAAGGATCAGTCGGATTAGTTATAGATTAGTATAGAAATTAATGTTGTTAACTTGTCTGAGTTACAAAGCTAGCATGATTATTTATTATTAATAGTAGATAATAATAATAGAGTAACAAGCGAGTTAACAGTACAGCTGATGCTAAATAGATCCTGTAGCCCATAGACACTTGCAATGACCTTTAAACAAATATTTCCATAGATGCGTTGTTATCCCTAGGGATTAACATGTTTGTATTAAGAATATAACTGTTTGTCCATAAATAATGATAAAATTTAAAAAGTAAATATTTTTTTATGTATTCAAATTTGGAGAATAGTAAATATTACGATGGAAACTTAGATCGATTTGCCACCGTTTCACATATCATTTTTCATCTTGATTGTTCAACGACATTATAGAGTCAGGTGTGAAAGAAAGCAGTACGTATGAGGTATGAGGTCGTCAGGTATTTTGATGCTTCAAAAGATAGGCATTAAATGTATGTTTTTGTATCGCCCAACTAGTGCACCAACAATTCCTTTCAACCCTCAGACGAAATAAAAACTCTTTATTTCGTCTGAGTTTCAACCATAAAAGATTGGAACGATCGCATGCTGTATGGCTGTGAACGCTACTAAAGCCAGAATTAGACCAATATGTAAGGATCCATCCACTTACCATCACGTTGTGTGCTGGTTTGTTAACTTCATTATAGATATATAAAAAAAGGAACAAACATACTATCTCGTGAAATAAAGATTCCCACTGAGGCCAAATATTAAAAAAAACCTGCAGCTAGGTTTGTCGTCAGTACGCCAGACATGTGCTAATTTATAAATCAAAATAAATTGATTTGAAAATTAAAATGGATTAAATATGTTTTGACGATTGAAATATCCAATCAAAAAAGATAGATAGATGGGACACTGCGTACATTTGAAGTGACTCAAAGAAGTTTCGCAAGTTGTTGGAAGAGTGCTACGTGCTCATTATCCTTAACAGACAGTGCCTTAATCAAGGAACGGAATCCATAATAGTACAGGTATTATAGGTTCATTGTTAGAGTGATTAAAAGCCTGTATCAAGACAAAGACGGCCACTTTGAATAAATTTGTTGTTAATTAATCACTTACACTTTAATAAATATGGACACATACGTTTTATCATTATTACACATTTTTTTTCGAAAAAAATTGGTAAATTTATGTGTAACAAAACATAGGCCATACTGTACGTACGGATAATACGGTACGTATAAAAACGAGGGTTGTACTATAGTTCAGCTGCAACAAATAATTAAATGTTACCCCCTAGGCATAAATGGAGCTATATATAATTAGGTAATTGGGTACGGAGTAAACATAATTGTCGAATTTGAAAGTGTACACAAACCGACATTAAAACTGATATTGATGATATTTATTTTATTTTTTATTTTTTTCAGGAATTGATCAGTACGACCTTCGAGGCGTTCTTCTTCTTAATAGCCTTCATAGTGATGTTCACATCTGTATATGGATCTTACGCGAAAAATGTCGCTGCTGCTGTAAGTAGTAACTTTTTAATCATAATTTTTGAGATTATTTATTTAAATCACCATTGCTCTTTCGATGCTGAACATTGGCATTTCATTTCGAAGAACTCGTTGTTATACTAACATAATATTATGATCACGTCTACGGGATGTAAATAAAAAAATAATGTCTAAGTGATGTAATATTGTAGTAAAACTTTTGAAGATTTTACTGTCATGTTGTTCACATCATGTTAAACTTTTGTTTCACTGTCATGTCTAAGGCTGGTTTTCCTGTCATGCTGACCGCACGCTGACGGTCGGCGCTGATGGGTTAATATGTATGTAGTTATATGTAGCGTTTTCGTGTCGCGCTGAACGCACGTACCGACAAATACAATCATGGGCAATCGTGATATATACACCGGTCGAGTAATTGACGAAGTGCGATCAAGAAAATGTTTATGGGACGAGAAATACAACATTTATATATAAAACCCCCTAACGTGTAGTTTTTTCTTTGTCAGACGTTTTTTCTTTGCTAAATAGTACACGGCAACAGTTTTCACTAACATCGATATTATTTGCGTTTGTACTTCACGGTGATCTGTGCGATACTAAAACGGTCCGAGCTGACCGATCAGCGCTGACAAGCTACGCGCCGACCGTCAGCGCCGGCGGTAAGCATGAGAGAAAAACCAGCCTAATGCCTGTTAGCTATTATTAATTAATATGAAATTAATCAAATGATTCAGCTTAAAAAATTGATAACAGAAATAGACCTAAGATTGATAATATATGTAATTACATTTATTTTATCTCTCTCATTTCAACTGAAAATGTATGTGCTACCTACCACTAATCCTAAGGAAAACATCGTGATGTTACCTGAAGAATATAATATTTGGAGGAATTTATTAATTTCGGGAATGTGAAGTCCGCCAAAACGCACTGGAGCAGCGCGAAGTAATAATTGCTAATTTGTTACATCTCTTTCATAAAAAAAATATATGAAAGGTGAATTGGGCTGAATGTAAGAATGCATATTTTATTATATTACATATAACTATAATTTACTTTTTTTCACTCTCCTGACACATTTTTAAATAAATAATTTATCTGGTACTGGCCCAATGCACTTTCTTTGAACTCATTTTCTGTTTACAAAATACGTACTTTCACTTAGTCTTAAGAGACGTTGAGTGCTATGTTCGGAATATTAAAGTATAAACACTATATGGCAAAAGAGAAACGCTATAAGGCAAGCGAATTGGACATGATATCTACGTATAAATTTTTTTTAAATTGGTTTTAATTTTGATCTGATATTTTGATACATGAAAAAGAATTCAAGTACTCATCACACTTTTTATCGATTTTTCGAACAAAGACTATAACATAACCTTACGGAAAATGATAACTCTAAAGACTTATCATGTGATCTTTCTGGATTTTCAGACGTATGTGTATGAAAATGTACGAAATAGCATTTAAAATTATCCGTTTATGTTTTATTTAATAAACAATAATAAGTTAACTTTATAATTACCGTTCTGCAGTACTGGCCTTTTCAAACCCTTGTTTCAAAAGTTTGGCTAAGAATTCTACTTTGATTTACAGAATTAAAATATATAGAAAAAAAATTACGTAAACTTTTTTCATAAAAAACGGCAATTTCATAGGTAGAGGCATAATATTAATCGAGTACCTTTTTTATCTTCATATTATATTTTTCTTTTGGCCACTAATAACAATTCTTGTTGGGACCGTCTGGTAACAGCGTAAGAAAATCTCTCACCCCATATCATGGATGTCGAGGTGTCAGAGGTCGGAGGATGTGGAGGCGATGACGATGAGAGGCGACAGAGGAAAACTGAAACAGAGGCTGGTCAACATCATCTTCCAGCTAACAACTGATAATAAAAATAACTGTGTTTACCCCATCGCTTGCCCAACGTGGCTTATGTTTAACTATGGGGAATCCCCCCTTTAAGGCAGGGGAGACCTATGAGGCAGCGGTGGACTTTTAAGCTCATATGTTGTAATGAATGAATGAATGATGAATAATTTTTGTTGTCTTCAGGTATTTGGTTTATTCAATACCCTCGCATATGCTGGCAGTTCTTACCTGCTGTTCCAAGAGCACAGAGCAAGCTTAGCGGTGTCATCGTGAGAAATCTACGCCTGCGCAGAAGCCTTCGGGCGCCAAATTCCGAAAAATATTTTGTTGTTTTTTATTAATATAATATTTACACTGGAACCATATATGGTTTTCCTTTGTACAGTAGTCATCGTAACACACAAGAGATTTATATTTTCCCTAAATAACATTGACAAAATTACGTCCTCTGCATTTTATTATCACTAACTTAAAAATTAGTTAATTTAATATATGTTACATATTTGCTTAAAAAACGAATTAAGTTAATAATTATTAAAAAGAGTTCTAAGGCCATAGATTTTGTACCTACATAGGAAATAAGACGTTTAATAAATAATTCAACATTTTCTATTTATTGTGTTCATTTTGACTGTGCATATACATTATGACTTTATAATGATGTTATATCTACGATTTAATGTAATACTTAACTATAACTAAATACGTGTTGGAATTGTATTTATCACAAACTGCACATTTTTTTATATTCGTAATGTACGACACGATGTTATATGATTGTTATCATATTTAATACTTATTTTTAGTATAGCTAGTCTTATTAAGGGTTCACAAAAGTAATATATTGAATATTTTTTTTTTTATAATTACTAAATGAATGTTTTTAAAGCAAAAGGAATATACAATCACATATTGCTACGGTTGTGAAGGATTTCGTCGGAAGTAGGGAGTAGTTTCATAATTAGTAATTATTTTTACTCACTATTTATAAAAACAATATATATTAAGTCTAGATCTGGTTATGGTGCAAGTCTATAAAATTATTATTGTCGTCTCACAGTACATGTATTGTTTTTATTGTTGACATATTAACTCAAATAAAAATACTTTTTGTCTCACTTTACACACATGTTTCCAAACTTAATTTTTATGATAGAATGAGAATATATTGTAAATGTCAGCAGGTACCTACCTAAGTTATAAGGACATTCAACGCCCAATAGTTATTATAACTAATTTGTAAAAAGTGAATAAAGTTTATTTTAACATTTTTTTCGTAGTAAAGTTTTTCTTAAATTATTTTTTTAGTTAATTTAATGATGCTATTTTAAAGAACAGTAACAACATTAACAGCCTGGCCACGGGACATTCGCCGTAGCGAAAATACGCGCGGCGCGAACGGCGAGGCGTCTAGCGACTAAAACTAATGTATAGAAATGTATGAAGCATGCCACGCGTAGCGGCGAGTGGAGACGCGACCGGCGAAATTTACCGGGCGAATCGCGCGGGCGACTGGCGGCGCGGCGGGCGAATGAAACAAATGTATGAATCAGTACGGTGCAAGCCACGGAGTCGGGCGGCAATCGCGGCGGCAGACGCGGCGAATAGTATAGGGAACAAAATATTTTAGTTTTATTCGCCGCGAAAAAATGCCGGGCCGACAAAAACAACTTAAAATTCTATCCGCATTGACTTTTATCTCCCAATTCTGGTTGAATATTAACAAGAATATAATCGCTGGTTTCAACACTCATTCTGGTATTTACTCGCTATTTTTTTTTCTAGATGCATTCTATTTGTTATGGAATTCTCCATCTATAACCCGATTACTATTCAAATCAAGCATTCCGCAATCTCATCCAAATATTATGTCTTGAATCAAAAAACAATCACTTTCCAAGCAATATCGAGATAAATTTGATAAAGACATTTCACTCTCGGCCTATCTGGTCGCGGCGGCAAACGTGACTTCCCGTGGCCCTCAAATCGGGCCGCGCGAAATTTCGCCCCGCCTGTCGCTTCGCCGTTCGCGCCGCCGATCCCCGTAGCCAGGCCGTAAGCCTATTCATTGCTGGAATTAGTGTATTCTAGTCTAGCTTGTTTACTGGGTCTAGACTTGTTTTGTCACGCTTGGCAGTCTATTAAATGCTTAGCTACTGATGGTCAGTAGCTTTATCAACCAGTGCGAGTGTATCTAACAGCTTTAAAAATATCTTTCCCCGGCGCCCCATTAATGGGGCAGGGGTGCGAAGAATCTCCGGGGGGAAACCTGGCGATGAAGTTCGCCACCCGTCACGCTCTGTCTCCCGGAGGGGTGAAAAGTGGATTGCAGAAGCCCGTCTGGCTGAACGTGAATGTATGTGAATGAATGAATGCTGACGTTGAATGTATGTGGAGCAATGAATGATAAGATGGATGAAGTATGCGATATGATTTATGATAGAGAAATAGATGTGTTATGTGTAAATGAGACGAAATCGAAAGAAAAGGATATTACTACACACGGCATGTAATGTATACCGCATCCCACCTGACGGTAAGTGGTGATGAAACCTAAGATGGTGAAGCGCATTGACTTAATAAAAACCTATTCACTCTTGCCTTGAAGACACCCACATTGTAATCGGATGGAAATACAGATGCCGGCAACTTATTCAACCTCATTGCTGTACGCATGATGTACGACGTAGCAAACCGTTTGGTTCGAATGCGAGGTAAGTCAACAACGCAAAGGTGGAGATTGGCCGAAAGTCTGGTAGTCCGATTGTGTAAGGGAGAGATAGGAATTAAATTAAGCAATTCCTGCCTGCAAAAACCGAAAGGCTAGCCACTTTGCGCCTGTGTTCAAGGCTATTAAGATTGGTTTTAACCAAATTCGGGTTACCAATAAGACTCTTAGCACGCCTTTCCATTGAGTCCAAAGTTATAAAATAAACATTGCAGCACCAGGCCGTGTTTGAAAGAGCATAAATGTGTAACTGAATGAAAGTCGGCTTAAAGAAGTTGTTTGTGCTAGGAGTCTACGCTCCAGATATGTCTAAGTCCACTTATATCCGAGAGCAGTTTTTGGAGATGGTAAGGATGGTGTTAACGAAATGTAAGGGAAATGAAAATATTGTTATGCCAAGAGATTTTAATGGAGTAGTTGGGGCTAAGAGGCTTGGTTATGAAATGATATTGGAAACGTTTAGTGATGAAAGTATAAATGAGAATGGTGAAAGCCTCCTCACCGTATGTGTGGAAAAGAATGATGAAGATTTACATGTGTACTTGGTAAAGAGGTGATGATAGAAGCATGATAGATTTCATAATTGTGGATGAAACAATAAGGAGCGCAGTGGTAGATACAAGGGTTTACCGGGGGTCAAACGTAGGGACGGATCATTATTTGGTTTTATGCCGAATTAATGCTCTATTCAGACGTTGGCGGCATCGGACATCTGTGTCTACCACTGCGTTACAGCGTAATAGAACAGAGAGGTTACAAGATGAAGGTGAGAAAAACAAATACAAATGTAGTTCGAAAGAAAATATAAGTGGCTTGAATGAATTGTGTATGAATGAGTTAGACTTGGAGAATATACAGCAAAATGTTAAGAAAGATTTGGTGGATGCAGCTACCGAAGTATGTGGTGTTAATACGAGAACGAATGAAAGGAAAAATAATACGTTATGATGGGATGATGAAGTACGTATGGAAGTTGAAGCAAAGAAGAGAGCATAGCTAGATTTACTAACAACGAAGGCTGGTAATCTGGCGGTAAGAATGATGATATTGAAAAAAAGGCAGACTTTAGACTTTATTTTAAATAAGAGAGTAAAAGAAGTAGTTGAAAGGAAAAAGCAAGACAGAATGGATAAGAATGATAGAAGGATATCTGATTAAAAATTCCAGGCAAATATTAAAATGTTCTCCAAACTCGTAAGAACTGCTAGGCGATATTCAAAGCAGCCTTAGATCAAATAAAATCAGCCATTCTCGTCTCGTATAGAATGAATGCTATACGAGAAGAAAATGGCTGTATTCTGAATGATGAAGTTTTGAGTTTAAAGAGATGGAAGGAATATTTTGAATGCGTGTTCATGAGTGTGAATATGTGAAACGTGTGAATTAAATGAAATAGAAATTTCGAAAGAAGAGAGGAAAGAGATAGGGATATAAGTATAGATGTAATAATGAAAGTAATGAAAAGCATGAAACTTACCTGCTTTCAGCCTTTTTGCAGCCGGATATGATAGAGTTTAACTTGAAATGCTAAAGGCTAGAGAGGAAGTGATGGCAGGCTTGCTGTTGTTGTTTTGTTTAATTTATGCTGGGAACTGAAGCGAGTACCAGAAGACTGGTGCAAAGCTGTGTTAGTCCCAATATATAAAGGAAAAAGTTCGCAGCAGGATCGCAAAAACTACCGTGGTATCAGCCTTCTTAGCATTGTGGGAAAACTGAATGCTAAGGTACTTATTGAAAGGGTTGTGAAAGAAACTGACGGTATAATTCGGGATGTGCAAGTGGGATTTAGAAAAGGAATGGGGTGTGCAGATCAAGTCCATTCTATGAGCATGATCGCGGAAAAATTTTTGGCTAAAAATCAAAAAGTTTTTTGTGCATTCATGGACTTTGAAAAGGCTTATGACAGAGTAGATAGGGATGTGTTATGGCACTGACACTGAATTCATTTGGGTTGAATGCTGGGTTGATACAGGCATTAAAGTCTTTTTATAGGGACTCTAGTGCTTGTGTTAGAATCAACGGGGTCTACTCGAATTAGTTTGGTATCCATAAAGGTGTCAGACAAGGCTATGTCACATCCCCGTGGCTGATCAACCTATTTATGGACAGTTGTTTGGAAAATTTGAAAGCTGAAGAATGCGGATTTAGAATGGGTGAGTTAACCGTCAAATGCCTTTTGTATGCCGATGATCAAGTTATATTTGTGTCGTCAGCAGCCGAGTTGCAAATGAATGCTACAGTAATGATCAAACCATTGAATGATGGGTATGAAAGTAAACGTAAGTAAGACGTAAGTTATGGTTTTTGAAAGAGAAGAAAGTAGAACGATATGTGAAATATGAATAAAAGGGGAGTTGATCGAGCAAGTAGATGAATTTGTATATTTGGGATACGTATTTAGCAGGGATGGGAGATATAATAAGGCCAAGCTGTTCCCCGCGACTTCATTCGCGTGAAATTTATTACGATTGAATCCCATGTATTTGATTTTTTTGCGAGTGCCCCCATTCTTTTTCTAAAATAAAAATAAGACTAAGTTACTCCT